TCACAGGTTCAAGCCCCGGTGAAGGCTGAGATAATTTTCACGTGGACTTCTAGTAATTTTCCCTGGTCTCTGGTTATAAGATCGGACACCCATGTGTAATGTTGCACACACACACAAAACAATCCATTGGCAGCTGGAAATTGAAACGAGTAGCCTAACGGCGCTGCCATGGCATACATTTTTAGTTAAAATCTTCCCACAATATTTCAGGATCCTCGTCGGAGCTACAGAGTTCATGCACTGCGTTGAGATTCTTTGGACTCACGCTTGAGTTAAAAGTAGAATGGGGCACTTATGGGTTACTACTCGCATACCACGATGTTGATCCGTTGTTCAAACATCAAATATCGTTACAGAGTATCAGGAAGTCCAGACATGGTAATAGGACTGCTACAGACGTCGTTCCTACATTGGATGCAATTTTTTGTTATTTTGAAGCACCAACTCGGTGAACGCGGTTTCCGTGACCTCTCCACGGGTGATCCTCATCCGCATGGTGGCATTTTGTGTTTATTGTTCTGTGTGATGTCCTAGTGGGGTAAAATTTACTTTCTAACATGGTAGAGAATGACAATATAGGGTTTTGTGATTATTTATACAGATGGTTCAGTCTCAAGAGGCTAAATAAGTATTGGGAGTTCTTAGCAGAAGCCAATGGTCGACGTGTTGGTGCAAGATAGCCTAGAATTTGATACCACAACGTCCAGCTTAAGAATGGAGGTGGAGGCGGTCAATGCAGCCTTCTATTGGCTGAAGAACACAACACACTAACACATAGAAAAAAATACAAGAGGACAGCTGCGCTTATCAGGAAATCACATCAAGCATGACTACGGAGATAACCGCTGCTTCTAGAGCACTAGCATGGCTGTTCGAGCAACCAGCCTCACGGGCAGTAATTGTTTTAGAATCAATGAACATGCTTCAGAAGATAGCAACAGACAGTATGGCCTCTGAATGGGTAGACAACATTGGAAACTCGCACTTAGCCTCCCCACGGCTGACTCTTTTTATCTGGAGATTGCGGTGGCCTCCATCACATGGATCTACACACGAGGTCATGCGGGGATAAAGGATAATGAGGGAGCAGACAAACTGGCAAACAATACACCAATGAATGTGAGAAGAAGAATGGACAAAGCAGATATTGTGAACGCTGTATGGACTGTGCTAGAGGGTAATGACGAATCTCTGACACTAGCACGATTGCGTGACATGGGAGTAAAGCACGGTGAAGCACGTCTTTGCCGCCTTCAAGGCTGAGATAGGAGATGTTATAACCAACTTTTCATGGGAATAATTAGTAGATGTACTTTGGATTGGTTGCTGCATCGGATGACTGAGCACGCTTGGAAATTCATAATATGCAGTGACGCTGATTGTGACACATACACACACCACCACAAACACATACGCACGAACACATAGGGATTGTAATTGACTCAGAAACCAGGTTGGGAAAGGCGGTGACAGGCATGCTTCATGCAGATTGGTATGCTTCACTTCGGTCACATGTGAGGAGCATTGTTTGGATTTTTTTTTCCTCCAGCAATTTGATCATAAAGGTCTGATGAGAGTGATGCAGCGAGGAGTGACGAGAGGATCTGGCCAACACTCAAAGCTTAGGGGAAAGGCAAGACGGACATATAATCAGACTGGCACCTTTTGTATTTGAACTTAGATGAATGCACTGAGTGCTGTGATGTCGGTTCTTAAATCAACTCACGCTCAACCCCGTACCTTCATGACAATTGTTTTTAAGGGAGACAAGTCTCCATTCAATTTACTCTAAACATGTTCATAGTGCTTTACCTTGTATAGTAACATTTCATTGGCTCGACCTATTGTATTCTCGGCTGTGATTGGTTCTTGTTGTTAGAGGTATCTTAGCATCTGTACTGTTAGTGTATGGCGGACTGCACAAGAGGGGACTGATATGTATGGAATACAGTAAGATCTTAGGGATCTTTAAACCGCCCCTAAAGTTGCGGTAAGTCTTTACAGACATGAACAGATTTCATATAATAAGATTTCCTCATTTCCTGGTTGTTTGTAAGCAACCTATGCGATTTCAATCACTGTTTTCTGTTTATAACTATGCACTTTTTGTCTTGCTCCATGTTGAGAAAGGTGAAGACGGGCATGCTTCGTGCAGAGTGGCAAGAGTCACTTCAAAGATCTCGTGAAGTTAGCATCTTCTGGATATTTTCTCCGGGAAATGATGGTGTGTTAGGAGAGACAGGCAGAGACACTGGCCAGCTCTGCACCGCAAGTATGACAAACTAGAGATTGTGATGGCCTTTCGGGAACAAATGAACCAGAACAGAGCAGAGGCACAGATAGATCATTCAATCTGAGGAGAATGGCGCTGCGAGGAGTTACCAGGGGATCTGGCAGACGCTCAAAACTTGGGGGAAGGAAAAGACGCATATACAATCAGACGGGTACTGGCACCATTGGAACTTTCATGGAAGTGTCCTGAGTGCTGTGAAGTCGATTCCTAATTCAACATTTAACATTTTGTCTTGTTCCATTGCAATGTTTATATGGAAAATTGTTTGAGAAACATGTCCAGTCCAGACTCAACAGTACTTATTTGTTTTACCTACTGACGGTTCTTCTTTGCACGACTGGAATTGAAGTGTCATAATTTTTTTTACTCTAAAGTATTGTTAATGTCTTGGCTGTTTTTAGTCTTATTTCTTTTTCTTGTTTTGCTTTTTACCATTAAATGCTGGGAGCATAGTCCTCAACCAGCTAAGACCAAGTCGCCAAGTTCTTTCACCCTTTTCTCTTTTACTTGTGATGTCAAGATAGTATTTATAGTTTTTGCCCTCAGGCGATAATAATTATGTTTGTCCACAACCTTCTGTCGTGTTGCAGTTTCAGCCATTAAACTCTTCATTATAATCATCATTTTTTCTTTTCTTCTTCTCATCCTCTTCCTCCTCCTCTGAGAAGGCAGCATAAAACTATTGTCAAATAGTCAAGATTTCATAAATCTCACACCATATTCATATCATATTTTAAACTAAATGTCTAGTTCCCTCCACCCCCTTTTCCACCCACACACACACACAAAACTTTCTCTTCAATTAAAAAAAAAACAATGTATGTGGTCTTGTAGGTTAACTATTTGAAGACGGGTCGCCAGTTAACTGGCTTATGAAGTTATCCCTATCGGACGGTCGCCAGTATACTGGCGTATCATAGAGACACTCTAATTTTCTTCAGTTTGTGGGGAAAATGAACAATTTTTTGAAAAATTAGGATTAAAAACAGGATGTCCTTTCGTTTGCTATGTCCTGCGTGGCTTTTGCGTCACTTTATGATTTAAAAAAAAAAAATTAAATATCTGTGATACAATTTTTACGTGATTTTTCCATACTAAATAATAAGGAAAAAGCTATAGAACTGTTCATACTACTCTGTTGTTGATGAATTTCTGCCAGATGGTGACAATAGTCTTGATATTATGAATTATATCTAAGTGACAAGAGTTAAAAACATTATAATTATAATATTATCCAGGGTTTTTTCCTTGTCAGTTTGTCATTTTCACTTCAGCATTTCACACTTTTAAATAGTCATATTGAAGCACTTAATATATAATTGATAAATATTCAAATTTTAAATGATATCACATACACCTTAAATTGTGCGGCTCCCCAGGCGCCTGCCGACCACCAGAAAGTATTGACTGTTGTAGATTTTTTCCTAGTACTTATTTAAAGAATAAATGGTCTTGGGACTAGGTCAGGTCAAGAAATATGCCTAGTTTGAGATTTAACCACATGTGGCCACATGTGTACTGGCCACTTTCCTGTCATGGCTCACCAATACCTGTGTCTCTAGAGATAAATATTTACAGATCATCCCTCTTGCAACATATGGATGTGAGTTGTGGACTATCCCGCAGTCCTTGAGGAAAAAATAGACATTGTTGAGCTGAAATGCTTTAGAAAGATTCTTATAATACCATGGACAAAGAAGAAAAGAAATACTGACATGCTAAGAGATCTGATCATCAGGAAAGATTGGCTAGTAAACAGAATGTTGTACCGGAAACTGAAATATTTTGACCATATCAAGAGCCACAGCAGATTGGAATCAGTAATAGCAGAAGGCATAATAGTACCAGGAAATACAGGTAGTGGCATGAGGAAGGGCACAGGATGTAAGTGACATCTTGAGTTGGTATGTGAATGAAGTGGGAGCTAGTGAGAGGCTGAGTTCCTTTGAAGCATATGGTGCTGAGAGCAAGGTTCTGCAAAGGACCTGCTACCTGATGATGAGGATGAAAATTATTTAGTTATAACCTGTAGGGCAGGGCTAGTCAATTAGGGTCGGTGGGCCAAGTCTGGCCTATGAATCATTGCGTTTTATTTTATTAATGATCTTTTTGAGGTGAAGCTCAACCATCTGGCCTGTGACGATCCCCATTTTCGAAATTTTGGGCCTTTTGTCAACTATGTTGAATAGCTCTGCTGTAGGGTGTGATGTTCTTTTAGAACACCCATTACACTGGTAACCCTAATTGAGTTTTTTTAGAAGCAATTTTTTTTTAACTAGAAATAATTACAGAGAGGGCTTTCTCTTGTCTTTTGTTGGGTTGTGTGTTGTTAACTACAGACGTGTTTAGTTGCATAAAGTTTTCAGGGCATCACTAACCTCCTTTCCTCCTTTAGCATTTTTTGGTTGTGGTTTTACTGTGCAATTTTATGATCAGTAGTTTGTCGTTGCTTTCTGAAGGCTTTGACACTCATCAGAATCAACAAAAAGTGGTTTGCTGCTTAACTGCATGCAGTTAAATTTAATATGTTATGTCAGAGTTATGAAACTGTGTTTATAACTGCTAAGCCACATACATTGTGATCTTTAAATCGCTTTTAAAAACATATCTACTGTAACATTTCATTTCAGCAAAACGACATTGTTTGAGGCTTGATGTAACTGGCAACTAATGCGTAATGTATTACCGGACATAGGACCCACGTAAGATGCATCATGAAGCATGCAGCAGGGACATAAACAGGACACAGATGCCTTTTATAGATGCCCTGGAGTCAGGCAAACTGGCAACTTACTTGAGTGATTTATCACTCAGTCAGCATGTATCATTACGTCCACATACCAGCACTCCATCTCTCATCTACGGGGCTGCCTTAGCCAAAACCCCTGTTTTCAGTCAGCGAGACACTATGGCAGAATTACCAGAATTCAGCGCAAATGGGAAAAATAGCATTTATTATACAGGAAGCAATGATGTCATATTGGACAGCAAAGATTCTTCTGTGCTCTTACCCACACAGACCAAATCCATTCAGCCAAATACAGAACAGAGCCTGCTGAACTTAAATCCCTACATTAGGCCAGCTAGTGCCACAGAAATTGCGAGTGTTCACAGAAAAATTCAGCATTCCATATCTGCTTCAGCTGCTGTTTCGAGTTTTCCTGAGATGTCATCTTCTGTATCACACACTCATATACTCCAAAGAAATACATTTCTGAGACCACTGAATGGAACATCTTCAGCCAGGAGAAAGCAGACCTCACGTAATATAGGGAACAGCGTGACCTCAGTCAAACAAGAAGTACCTGATTCTAGTGTACAAAGACAGAACAGTTTTGACTCAGACCTGTCGCTCAACTCGAGTTCTAGCCAGAACAGTGCTACATTTTTCAACCCTACTTTACTAAGCACTACTGATCATCATATGCACACAGATTCATTTTCCAGCAAAGCATCGTATACTTCATCTTCGGATTCCTTTAAAATAAATACCTCAGGTTCACAGGCATCATTAAAGCTTGATATGAATACTAATTTCAATTCTGCAAAGTTTGGCATGGAAACTAGTTCTTATTTAAAGCAGAATAGATCATTGTATGATGTGCCATCACAGTCTCGGGGAATTTTTCCTTCTATTTTATCTGACTCAAAGTTGTTCCCAGCTCCAAACAGTGTCAAGAGCACAGGTAATTATTTCCTTATTTATTTGCTTTAACTCTTTGAGTCCTAGGGGGTTTAGCATCAGAGGCCCAAGGGGTAGACAAAAGAGATGTAAAATCGGCGCATTTTGCGTTCATTGGGACTCTAGGCGGGAACCTATGAACGTATGATGCGTTCCTTGAGACTCAAAGAGTTAAAGTATTAAAGTACCCTTTTCATGCCTTTGATACAGTGGGCATATTGTGCTGCATCTGTATTTTCATAGACCAGTCGGCACTTGATAGAAGATATTGTTAACATACCTCTGGCCACCATTTTTTTCCCTGAGCAATCAGACAGTCAGGCTGGGTCAACATGGGGCGCCAAGGTCTTTTTTGAAAATATGCCAGGATGTGGATTTGAACTCTAGGCCATTGGATGCAAGCATGTAGACACTATACTGCCCTGCTAACATTGGGTATATAGTGCTACCCGATATTATTTTAGACCAATCTGTACTCAGTGTTTGAGGTGATCAACATCATGCTGCTCATCTTTACTTCCCAAGACATTATCTGGTACCCATTAGAGTCAAGATGGGAGCAAAGTTAGTTTTGAAAGAAAAAGTTATGTTGCCATGATGCGGATTTGAAACTTAGAGCTTCAGACCAGCAGACAAGCATCTAACTGCTACGCTATCACAGCTCCCTTAATAACACACACAATTAAAGCTCCTCTAGAACAAAACTAAAGTTCAGAATTAGATGAATTACCAGAACTTTTCATCAGGGTTTACAGCTAGTGAATCCTAAGAAGCAGAAGAGTTTTTTAAAGTAATAGCCATTTCTCATAATCTTTTTAAATCCCCATTGATCACTGGCATCATGTGAGCTAATAAACTGAAATGGTTGGGGCATATTGAAAGAATGTCAGATGACAGAGAAGTAAAAACTGTATACACGAGGGAGATGAATGGTCATAGACCACGAGGTTTTCATTCCAAGAAAGAGAATGCCTGAAATATAGACTTCATCACTCTCTAGGGAGTTGTGTTAGGGCTAATTCCTCCATGTGTTATGAGTGTTAAAATCTCTGCTGAAATATACAACACACAATGTAAATGGCATTGCGGAACACTCCCATAACCTGTAAAAACTTGGTGTCACCAAGTAGAAAGAGAAGGCCAACCAGAGAGATGAATGTAGGCAGGTGAAATCTGCAGCAGTGAACTTCAAGAGCTGGTAATGCTGAAGAAGAAGAAGAAGAATGTCAATCTCAAGTAAGTGACCATTTCTCTATGGATGCCAATTCTGGACAAAGGTCAGTGAAATGGTGAAGAAACTGGAGAAGTTTTTATTATAAAAATGTTTAGAATATTGTAGATATTTTAAAAGTTTAAAAACTGTAGATGTTATAATCTCATGCACCAAACTGTGTGGAAAAAAACACCTTCAAATGAAATTTATGAATAAATGAAACAAGAACTAACATTGCTGCACTTGGGACATTCCATTTGTGCCCTGTCTCCTTCCGGAGTCGTCAACAAAAGTTTACTGGCTAAAAGTACCAGTTTCAACCTGATTAAAATTCTACCTGTGTTTTCCAGTCAGTGTTGAATATCTTTCAAAACCTTTACTTAACCCCTTCCTCCACCCCCCCCCCCTTTTTTTAAAATTAGTCTTTCAGTGTGTGAATTTTCTGTCTGTTATGTTGCACCATCCATTTAATTCCAGAGGGCCTTCACCATATCAGCTTCATCATTAAGTAGCTCACGACCCAGAGGAATAGCAGTGGCCAGTCTTTCAGCCTGCTCATTACCCTATGAAATTTATATTGCATATCAACAGAAGATGTGGGATAAAGAATTTAACTATGTTGGGGAGGGGAGGGGGAGACTAGGTGAAAAGAGGCAGAGAAGGACAAAGAATGATCACTCTATCTGCTCAATGCAGTCACCAAAAGCAGAAGAAAGGCCGTCTCATTCCATCTCAAAAAGCAAGATGTTCAGTGACTGAGAGGAAAGGCTGCCTTTTAGTATGCAAAATTTTACAGTTGAGCATACAAAAGTATTTTAATTTAACATGTATAGCAACTTAACTCTTTGAGTCCCAGGGGGTTTAGCATCACAGGCCTAATGGGTAGTAAAGAGAGACTAAAATCGACACATCACCTGTTCATTGGGCTTCTACGTAAGAACCTATGAACGTATGATGCGTTCCCTGGGACTCAAAGAGTTAAGGATGCGAGTCATGGCCTATCTCCTAGTCCTTAAGCAAGAAAATGTGTGCTTTTGAGCTGAAATGCTATAGAAAGATTCTCAGAATACCATACACAGTGTTCTGTAAAGGACTTGCTACATGATGGCGATAATATTTCCTAAAACTCACACCCCCCAAAAAAAAAATTAATGACATTATTACTAAGCATGTTGAAATCACAGTAACATTATGTCTTGATCCATTCTTATATAAGAAAGTGAACCATGGACAGTTACCCGATTAGGAAACAATTATGTAAAGGCATCAAAGATGTGGTTTTATATAGTAATGATGAGAATACAATAGGCAGATGTAAAAAAAAAATAATGAAGATGTCTTGAAAGAAAACCATTGTGGTATAGCAGTCTGACACTCGCCTATGGATCTGAAGTTCATGGGTTCAGGTGAAGACACATTGCTCCATGCAGAGTGGCAAGCATCCAGCTAAATTTTCTCAGAGGCCAACATTTTGGAAATGGGTATCGTCAAGGGCCATAGGCCTAAGCCCCAGTATAGAAAGATCATTAACTAGTACAAGTGGCAATAATCTGGGGTCCACTTGCTATACCTCCGTGGGCCATATTTGACCCACAGGCCACCAGTTGAATAGTCCTGCTCTGTAGGATTAGGAACGGCTGACTAAGAGATTAAGAACGTTGGACTTTCAGTTGGGAGACCTAAGTTCAAATCCTTGACAAGGGAAGGTTTTGCCTGTCAGGGACAAAAATCAGATTCTAACTTGCCTAGACTGTGGCAGCTGCACTATTTATTCAGTCCTAAATTCTCATAGTAGTAGTAGTAAAAACAGTTTAGTTTAGACTCCCTTGTCCATTGAGACCAAATTGTGTAGATAACCTGTCAGTTCAAGGGGTGAAGGTAAAAAGGTAAAGTCAGGAGATGTGAACCAGCATCATTACACACAGTTATAAACCATAAGTGCTCTGCCACCAGTATGGACAGCTGATAAGAGACTGTCTCTTTGTGTGGCCTTCCGCACACAACTTCGTAGCTACAGCGACGTTTCTCCATTTACCCCAGAGTGTTAACTCTGGTACCCATTACCTGAAGGCTGGGTAAACCCAGGGAAACGCCCGGTTTCGAACACCAGCCGTGGGCTGCAACAAGTCGCAGCTGAATTTGAAAGCGAGTCTCCTATTGACTGCACTAACGTGGTCCCTATAAAATACACAAGGGGTGACTTTCTGTAACTGATGAAATTAACCATAATCTTCTCCCTCACATAGATCACAGTCAACCAGTGACACAGACTTTAACATCAGAAACAATGGGAGCCTCAGGAAACCAAACACACAAGAAAGTTCCAGTGACAAGCACATTGACAGGTCTTGTTTATTACAGGCGCACTTCTGATTCCAACACAAATTCAGTTTTAGCTTCGGAAAATAAAAATTCTTCCAACATGGCACTCCAGAATTTGTATGAAAAGACACCAGCCAGTAGCACATTGGCACCATCATTTACAACCATTTCCATATTGCCAAATTGTAATTCATCCTATGAAAAGCCTGGCTCTGGTGTTAAGTCTTATGTGACACCTGCTGTAGAAATGAGACCAGACATAACATTCCGTTCATGCCAGAATGTTGCACTGAGTGCAAGGCTTTTGCAGAATGGAAAGTCTGCAAAGCCACCTGTCATTTTAAAAAATACAGCAGTGATGCACTCACCACTCAAGAAAAAAGATTCAGTGAAATATTCTTCAAAATTACTACAAGAGGAGCAGTTTAGAAAAACCAGTGAAACTGAGTCATCTGCACAAAAGAGCAGTGTGGTTTCCACAACAAATCAGAGGTCACTAAGTGATGATGCTTCTTCAAAAACAAAGAGATTTTCAGAAATGCACCAGGCTGGACCTTGCAAGGTTGAAACTACACAGAATACAGAGTTTATTGATGAGGAGAGTGTTGATTGTGATGATGAAGGAAATGATGATGCCTTCAGTGGTAGCTTGGAAGAAGATGAGGAAAAAGAGTCCTCTGCCAAAGGGTAAGTAATGTATGCTGTTTCTTACTTGAAATGTGAGTAGATTCTTTACAAATATTTCTAGTACATAGAAAAAATGAAGAAACTGTATTTTCAAAGTGTCACAAATTGGGCATGCAGGCACATCTTACGTTCAGCCCTTCCAGACACTCATATTCATACTGCATTTGTATGTTATTAATAAAGCATGTTTTATTCATATAACAGTATACATAATATAAATATGAAGTGTAAAAAAATATATGTACATACGTATTGTTCATCCATCACAAGCAATGAGGACAACTCTTTCTTTCATTTATCGTGAACCTATAGTTGAGTTTTGTGACTCCAGAGGTGACTTATAAGCCCAATACGGACCTTGAAGGATCTAAGACAATGAGGACAAGGAACTTTGTCTGTAGGTAAGGGGCCTGTCGTACAGGTCTTTCTAGCCGGCCTGTGCTGCTTAACTGCCCTTTTTCCTGAAGCCCCGCAGGTCACCGCTCCTGTTAATAGACGTTTGCCATGTAGTCTGGTCTTCTGCGGCAGCCTACCAGGTGTCAGGGTCAGTATTCAAGGCTTTAAGTGAAGCCTTTAGTGTGTCCTTGAAGCATTTTTTCTGGCCACCTTGAGCATCTACCTTCCTGTCTCTCACCAAACAAGATTTTTTTCAGAGCTGATGGTCTGTCAGCAGATGACTTGACCTGCTTGTTGAAGCTGTGACTGCACAGGATAGTATCAGTACTGGGAATGCCAGCTCTGTTCAGTACAATAGTATCTGGGACCCTGACTGGCCACTTGATTTTCAGTATTTTTCTGAGACAGGCTGTACTGAAGTGGTTGAGCTTCTTTGCATAACGTCTGTATACAGTCCATGTTTAACGAGCATACAACAGGACTGGCAGCACAACAGCTCTATATACCTTCAGTTTGGTTTGCCAACTATTACCACTTCAATGCCAGACATTGGTATATAGTCTGTCAAATGTACAGCTGGCTTTAGAGATCCAATACATACATACATGCATACATTCACACATACATCATACATGCATTCGCACATATATACATACATGCATGCATATTTAAAATGGCTATGTTGTCTCACTTCTGATGAGTCAGTCCTGATTTACAAAAGTGAATCATAGACAGTCAACCAGTTAGTGAAAATTATGGAGAAGCTACAGAGATGTGGTTTTACAGATTAATAAAGAGAACACATCTTCTTCTTCAGCCTTCTGAACCATTGAAGTTCGTTACTACCGATATCACCGCCTCCATTCATCTCTGATACTGACCCTCTTGTTCCATTGGTGACTCCAGGTGCATGAAGTCTGCCTTGATATTATCTCTCAGTGGTCTTCTTGGTCTACCTCATTGTCTGCAGCTGTTTAACAACCTTGTCTACACAGTTTTTGCCCTTCTGTAGTCTGCCATTCTCTCTGTATGCCCCAGTAGTTTCAGGAAATTAGCCACTAGATGCCAGTGATCAGTGATGTTTTGAAAACCATACTGAAGGGAAAAGTTGGTGGTAAGAAAGCAAGAGGAAGGCAACAAGTGGGAGGACAACATCAAGAGATGGATGAACAGCAATATGAGAGAGTGTACAACCAAGACAAGAGATAGAGGGTGTTGTATATCCATTTCAGCCGACCTTCAGTATGGAGATGGCACATGATTGATTGATTGATTGATCACCCAACATTTCCCGCTGCTTGCATCTTTGATGAGTCTAAAGATTCATCATAAGATAAGATATTGACAAATAATAAGCAAAATAAAAATAAAATGTCCAGAGTTTAGGCGTCTATGCTATGGTGGTACTCAGTGACGTAAGATCGTATACATAGGATTAAGGATATGGCTGGTAGTCTGGGTTACATTTACTCCAGATCTCTGCTGGATGTCAGGGTTACATTTACTCCAGATCTCTGCTGGATGTCAGAGTTACATTTACTCCAGATCTCTGCTGGATGTCAGGGTTACATTTACTCCAGAGCTCTGCTGGATGTCAGAGTTACATTTACTCCAGATCTGTGCTGGATGTCAGGGTTACATTTACTCCAGATGTCTGCTGGATGTCAGAGTTACATTTACTCCAGATCTCTGTTGGATGTCAGTGTTACATTCACTCCAGATCTCTGCTACATGTCAGGGTTACATTTACTCCAGAGCTCTGCGGAATGTCAGGGTTACATTTACTCCAGATCTGTGCTGGATGTCAGGGTTACATTTACTCCAGATCTCTGCTGGATGTCAGGGTTACATTTACTCCAGATCTCTGCTGGATGTCAGGGTTACATTTACTCCAGATCTCTGCTGGATGTCAGAGTTACATTTCACAATGAGCTGTGCCAGAAGTTAGTTTTAAATTTAATTAAAGTGAAGCTTTGGGAGAGGGCTAAGACTCCGGTGAATTAAAAAGTAGCAGGCTTTGAATCTTTATCATCGTCCATCAGCAGGTCCTATTTGAACGTCACTCTCGTCACAGAACGCCTGAATCTTTCACTAGTCAATTATCCAGCCTAATATACTTTCATAGTCAATACATCTGCATTGTCTTGTATTTAACTTCGCAGAGGCCTGTCTCAGAATTGTTTTCCGAAAATTGTACCCTTCATCCCCGTTCTTTCCAGGTCACATTGATGTTTAATAACATACCTCAGCTTTTCATCTTTCGGGACAGGATGCTGTTTATGAGCGATGTTTCTTCGATGCTCAGATTTTAGTTTGGACAAATTGTAGTGATTAAAAGTGATTGTGTGTGCAACTGCTGATCTGTTGGTGACCTCTGCTACCATCCATGATAAACTGCATTTCTAATGAATGTCGGACTGTTTGTGTTAGTACTTCGGATGGCTGCCGTTTGCTTTTAATGCGTGTGTATGCTAGTGCATATGCTGAGACAGCAGTCTGTCAATCTTTCCACAAGGAACTGTGATAAACATTCTGTGTGTTTTTCGTTGGCACAGGAGTGGAGCAACTTAGGTGACCCGTTTTTGCTCTGAAGCTGAAACTAAGATTACCAGATTACCAGATGGTTTAGACAGGACAGGCAGTTAGAATACCTGATAATAATATAAGTAGAATTTGCTTGCACTAGTACTCACAGTACAAAAGAAACAAAAAGAAGGGAGTTGTGGGGGGGGGGGGAGGAGGTGGGGAGCACACATAGAGGAGATTTAGAGACTACCCCAATGTGAGGTCCGGAGTGCTATGGCGGGGTGGGGGGTTAGAGGGAAATAGACCCGCTGACAAGCATGCTGTAAAAGTCGACTAATTAATTATTTACTACAATCGGATTTGTTGGTCCGAAGGGGCAGATAGCGCTGCCTAGCTGTACACCACAACACGACAACCACCCTTTGAAGGCGAGCTCATAGGAAGAAAAAGACACTGAGGCGAGTGAGCAGTGTAGGACGCTACGTGATCTGCACGTCGTGGCAAAGGATAGAAAGACTCGGCGCCAGTTGGTTAAATGGCATTACTCCATTTGATCATAAAGATGAGGAGGAGGAGAAGAAGAAGAAGAAGAAGAGGAAAACGAAGAAGAGCTCTATTTATGATCCAGAAAGACGATCACAACGTCCGAAACATTTTGATGTGGAAAAGGAACACAACTCTTCCCAGGAACCCAATCGCACTAGAATACGTACACGTACTGTTTTTTTCCGCTTACGTAAATGTCTTTGAAAGCTGTCGCTGAAGGTAAGGAATTGATAAGAACCGCTAGTGCAGGCCATGTAGATAAAGCTGTCAGTTTAATAGTAGCCTGTAGCAGGTTGTGACCTTCTCTTTGTATAGCCTTCTGCATTTATTGCTTCCTGAAAGAACTGCTTGCTCGTTTGTGTGCACGTCAGCTCGCACACCTGCGTTGTTTGGAATGCTAGGAGATCCTGGCACGAGAAGGACACAGATTGTTTGCAAACTGTGTTTAGTTAATCAGGTATTTTTTGCTTTCACGTTTCTTCATCGTTTCCGTGTGTCTTCCCCTCCTCTCCCCCCCCCCCCTCCCCCCGAGATTCACTGGTTGGCAGTGAAACATCTGGAAGAATAGTTATAACTCTTATGGTACCAAGAAACTTGAAGAAACTCACCCCCACCATATGTTTTTTTTTTTTTTAGAGGACATGGCGTACACTTTTTCTCTATTCCTTACGATCCATCCAGCAGTTGCATTAAACCACTCTGCACAAATTGTTGCTGTAATCTCGCCTGTCTCGTACCGTTAATATTGTATTTTTCTTAAGACTTCAGCATTGATTGTTGTTTGCACCATTCCGTATTTCCAGAACTATAGTGATATATTGTGCCACACTGAAGCATGGGAGACAGTCTATGGCGATGGTGGAACTAGCAAGACCCCGCTCGCCTTAAGAAAATTCTTCAAACATTATAGCATAGGATTTTAGAGCTATTTTTGTCATAGTATGTATTTAACGTGCTTCTTTATTTTCACCTGTCTCCCTATTTCGTTCCTGATTCCCCTTTCAGGCAACACAGATCATGATATCGTATTTACACACATCTGTCTCAAAGCCTGTATCATTCATGTCCCGCTTTGCATACATCTTTAAATCACAGTAGCCGCCGACTTGGACATTTTGTAGCCACCGTAATTTATTGTAGTGGTGGGTGTCCTTGTGGACTCAACTTTTACAGCCTCCAAGTGTGCGCTAACCATCTTAGCGTTCGAAGACTAACATTGAAAAAAAAAAAAAAAAAACTATTGTAGTACTTACGTTTTCCAAAACCTAAATGTTTGTGATCTTGCCTTACAACTCACATGTTTGTTAAAACAACAGTTTTTTTGTGTGTAAAAGAATTAGCCCAAGTAACATTTGTAACTCTGGGTTTTAACTGAAACTTTTGAAGAGCGATGTAGAGGTCGCCAGGGTCATGAAAGGAGCGTATATCCCCTGTGTTATGTCGAAAATAAGACCTACCACGAAAATAGGTCTGGTATGATTTTTCAGGATGGGCGTAATATAAGACCTGTCCCGGATATCATCATCATCATC